ACACACCTACTGCCAATGAAGGTTCCTGTGTGAGGACCTGCTTTCTGCCCTAACAGGATCCATCATCACATATTCAGGGGCTAAGAGGGGATTTTGCTCTTACACTGTTGAAACCTGCTCTCCAGCTTGTTCATCCCAAGGTATCACTGCTCACCCTCAGCAGTGATACATACATCAAAATTAGCCAAGCCCTGCCCTGCCTGTGAAGAGAGGGGAAAAAATCCATGGCAGAAGCACAGTTAATCACGTTCACCAACACACCCTGTGTCCTCTACCTGGGGTGGGAGTTCTTAGCAGAAGAGCTCATCTGTCCCTCCCAGCTCAGGAGCATTGCTCTTCTTGGTGCTCACAACCTGATTTTAGAGACAAATGCCACTAATCTGGTATTACTGCTGCCTCACCAGCTGGGAATCTGGGGGAGTGGCTCCAAAGGACTGCAAGGCAAGTGTCAGCAGAGGCTGAGTGCTGCAGAGGCAGGCTGCAAGTGCCACACACCAGCACTTCTTGGTGACATGAAGCCATAGGTTAGGGCACCTGCAAGACATCCTTTGAGTGATTGTTACAAGCCCTTCCTGGAAGGAAGAGCCGTCAGCCTTACCTCAGCTCCCCAGTTACCCTCTTTCAAAGTCAAATAGTGGCTGAAAAGAGTGACAGCAAACCCTGAAAGAGGGATGCACAGCAGGTAATAGGCAAGAATTTCTCTAAATGTCACCAAGCTGGAGTACGAGTTCATCCACCCATCCCAGGGTGCCGGCCAGCCCATGGGGAGCACGGCATGAGATCCTCCTGCTGAGCCAGTGTCAAATGAGCAGCATCAGGGATGCAAAGGGTGGTTTATCAGCACTGTTTGAGCAGCTTGATTCCTCTCTCTCAGCTGTGCCAGTGACAGGGTGATGGCTGCTGGTGCCGGCACCCAGAGCTGGTTTGGGACCAGCAATGAGAAGATGAGACGACTTTCACTGCAAGAAATTAGATAAAATGAGCTCAGGACATCTCTGAAGATCCCAAGGCTTTTGCAGCCTGCTTTCCTGTTTGTGGCTGGGGAAGCTGCCTACTTGCAGACCAGGAAAGTGCAACTGGCAGCTCTCTCCTGCCCCTGCTGCCGCTCCCTCCAGGCCATGGTCTCTCCCCTTGGCCTCCCCACCCAGCAACGTCGGCTCTTCCCCTTCAGAGGGCGATTCCTGGGAGGGGGAGCACCACTTTGCTATAATCAAAGTGCACAGGATAAACAAGCAGTGCTGCTGACTCCAGAACACTCACTCACCCGCTCCTCATGCTGACCAACCGTTTCTGGTGCAGCAGCCTTACCTGGGCACACCACCTCTTCCTTGTTGAATTACTGACACCATAAGTCAGGCTCTATCTTGCAGCCTGGCATGACACACCTGGCTCAGCCCTGCTTCCTACATGTTAAATATCACCACTTTAGGCTCATGGGGCTGGAATATAAAATATTCAAGAGAATAGCAGCAGAGGACTATCTTGAATTGATGCTGATGCTGACACCTGTGCACAAGGAAAAGTCTGCAGCTTGCAAGAATCTCCTGCTCCTGGTGTGCCAGGTCCTTCCAGAGATCACTCAGGCTTCAACCTCAAATGTTTGGGTCCTTCCAATAATCTTGGCCTTAAGCTTATCATTCAAGTAGAAAACAGCAAATGTAACCCTACTGCTGCATATTTGCTACACAGAAACTGCCACACACTCCTACAGTATCTTGGCAGTGTAAGTCAATCTGAAGCTAGTGAAAACTTGGTGTTTGTCACTCAGCCTTGCAAGAAAGCTCATCTCTCCCCTTAGCACAGAATACAAACAGCAGCAAGTGCATCTCCAGGTATGAACCCAATTCAAGCCAGGTGGGATACATAAACATGAGGATTATAGGTCATTGCCTGGCTCCTTGCAGGAATTAATTTCCCCTTTTTGCATGGAGCAACTGGCCGCCTCAAAAGAAACATCTACATCCCAATGGGCCCTCCTCCAGGTGCAGCACTGCAGTTCCCAGCTCAGCATGAAGGAGTCCTTCAGCGGTAGCAACTGACATTTTCTTTCTTGACCATGGTCCTGTGCTCCTGGCTCAGCACACACACTCACTTTACCCACTGAACGGTGGCAGATGGTTCAGTGGACACTTACTCTCTATGCCCAGCCTCCATACTCTTTCAAAGGATGGACAAGTAGCACATCAAGGGACTTGACTGAGCTGGCTACCAAAACTGCTCAGGATGTCAGCAGAGCAGGGACAAGTGGCCTCAGCATGGCAAAGAGCACAGGCCAGGCACCAGCACTGCCCTACCCATTTTTTTAGGATGGCCCATGCTGCAAGGCTGCTGGGTCCATGCTGGCAGTGCTGGGAAGCCCCACTCACCTGGGAGAGAGTTTCTGTAACAAGATTTAGGGGGTCCTGTCAGCCCGTGGGCTGGGAGCACTAACCAGAGGTGCCCACGTGTGTGGGGAAGGGAAGAACAGACAGCTGTGACCCTGATGGAAGACAACACTTAGAGGCGAGTAGCCTTTTATTTCCCTTGAATATAATAGGTAGAATGTACATAGGCTTCATCTGGTGGATCAATAAGGGCCTGAAACAGGAGTCACAATGCAGTGGTGAGGGTTATCATGATATAAATTTCCTTACTTAAGATTAGAATGCAACATAAATGTTCCCAGTAGCAGCTGGTACCAATAGCTTCAGGGAGGGAGGTGTGAGATCACTTGCCATGGGTACATTCTGATCAGTAAGTGGCTGGCTTATGCTGCTGTGCACATTATTATATTTTTTGAACCTAATTTCCATGATTAGAGACTGCACTACTCTGCCACTACATCAACATGCTCAGATATTAGCAAGAAATACACTTGTAACAGCCTTATATCTGTCGTTCTTCTGTTCTTCGAGGAGCCTCCACAGGCATTACAGGGTGAGAGGTGAAGTTACACAGCCAGCACCTGTGAAAACTGCAAGACATGGATTGGCATTCGGGAGCTGACTGGGCTTCCTTCTCCAAAACAAACACTTACTCATGGTAGATTTTACTGAATTATGGTTTAATTTCATAATCTACTGTTGCTACGTCTGTACAACATTGTACAAATATAATCATAAATAACATTTCAGCCCCACAGAAACGTTTGCCTGGCTGTCTGAGGATCCAGTGGCTTTGAGTCTTTGACCTAGATGCTCCTGTCTTCTAGATGCCGTCATCAAAGTACCTTTGGTGCTAAGGTTACAATGCTAATACATTCGTACCAGTCAGCACAACATTTTTGCTTTCCAGCCTCCTTTTCCACTCAGTGACGAAATCCCTCAGCCATGGCAGAGGATCTCTGGCAGTACCTCACATTTCTGGTCAAATATGAAAGATTTTTAACCTCTTTTTGCATTAGGCAAAAACATTCTAGCAACGTCATGAGGTAGGGGCAGTTATATTTCAGAGGTGATACTAATGTGTTAGTTTAGGACTGATACATCCTTTTATTATAGCACTTGCTATAGTAGGTTTTTTAAGTAGAGCATTGATCTGCTCACACTAATACAACTGATTCTAGATTTCCTTTCACTCCCATCAATGCATTTTCAATCTGAGTAGCACTACCCCCTGTTAGCCTAGCCTGAGAATTAATCTCTTGCCCAGATAAAACTATCAGGCAGATACTCTTTTCAACTTAAAGGTTAAGATAAATAACATACTTAGCTGCTACTGGCAGTGAAATACATGCAGAACTGCTTCTACCAGAATTAGGAAACCTGCTTAGAATTACATGGAATCTAAAATGATTGCTCTGGATTAGAAAACCACATGCTAGGATGCCATTCGTAGATGTCTGGTGTCAAGAAATATTCTTGTTGCAGCTTGACAGCGGGTGAGGGTTGTGGCAGGATGATCTCTCATGCCTGAGTTCTCCATGGAACGTTTCATTTTGGTCAATTATTCTTCCTCTCATCTTCTGTGTTCCTGAAGCTTCTCATCTGTGTTTTAAAGGTCTAGTGGAAAGCCATGATCATTACAAAAAGATACAATTCTCTTAAAGCTTATTTCCCCATTTTGACTACAATGCAGCATCATGTTCAAAATACAACTACTGGATCTGCAAAATAAAACACTCAGACTATAATGCACATCTGAAAATAAATACATAGCCTTTGTGTAGAGCCAGTCCTCAATAAAAACCTTCGTATTCCCACAGTAGTGCAGAGATGTTCTCAGGAAGGCCATGCTACAGGGTGGAGTCTGAAAATAAGAGAAAAATAGCTCAATATTGTAAGGAGAGAGGTAGTCTGTAAGGTGCACTGGAAGGGGGACTTGAAATGTTACAGGGTCAAAAACACCAATGTCTGCAAGAGGATTACAGGAATTTAACTGACCCATTTCTCCATTCATATAATCCCACTGAGGTATTCTGAATTGCATTAAAAGGTAAATATTTGACTCAAAGTAAAGGATATTTCTTAACTAACTGGGTAAAATTGTCAACAATGTTTATCCATAAGTTTATACACCATGTATCTATCCTCAGTCAACTACACTGATTTTCTATTCACATCAGGATCCCCAATGACCCTGTTTGTCTTATACCATGTCCTTCCCTCTCCTCCCTTCTCACTGCCTCTTGCTTCCTAACACCTGCTTTTTCCTCTCTGCTTCACCTAACCTCGCACATCTTGCAGGATCTTCTATTCAGCAGCTTCTACACTGTAGAAGAATCTAACCCAGATATCAAATGAAGATGGGATATTTCTTTCTAAAAGATTTGCTCAAGGTCAGCCAAAACCTCTGGCTCATGTAGAAATCAAGTGTTTTTCTCATGTCTGCCTCTTTATTTCTATTTCTGTTTAATACTTGATCACTAATAGGTTAATTAAAAATTCAGTAAAACAGTCCAAATATACACTGCCTTGTAGGAAATTGCTCTTGTCAGTAAGTGAAGCTGTATGGCTACCATTTTTAAGGCATCTTGACATCAATGATATGTCTTGAAATCACCCAGTGAAGGAAGAGAAGCATTAAAGACTGTTACCTTTAATAGTGAGGAAGGCTTTGCTGAATGCACGGCCCGATTCATTGGTGGCTTCTACCATATATTCTCCTTCATCATGTTTTGTGACACCTGGAATGACCAGGGAGCAGACACCAAAGTCGTTTGTGCAAAAATAGGTAGGATCATTGGAGAGGTCTCTACTGTCCTTGTACCATGTGATCTTTGGAGGTGGGTGGCCTCCAACCGCACAGCTCATGTGGCACTCACTCCCAGTAATCACCACATGGGGCTTCAACCAGACAAGGAATCTCGGGGGTTGGTTTTGATTAACTCCCCTGTATTTCTGTGGTTTGACTTGAAATTCGGCTGTTAAAAAAAAAAAAAATCAGCAACATAAAAACACACACTGAGGTACTGCTTCACAGCAACAGAAGTCAGGGTTTAAAGGACTGGTTTTCAATCATGACACTTGGTTGCACAGAATGTCTGGCAACCTGCACTACAAATTGCCAGAGGTGCCGTGCACCTACAGATTACAATCTGTGTTTTTTCTCAAATTAGTCAGAATTTAACTTTGAAGTCAGAAAATATGGTTTCTGCAAAACTTAAGCCTTAGATTTTGCTGGGAATTAATTTTGTGGTGAATTACATGATATAATGGCTGGAAATAAAGGATCTATCTGCACAACGTCCATGCAGAAAGGACAAGCCTTCCCTGCCAAACTGGAATTTCTTAGGGTATCTCTATGCATTCTTGTTCTGTGCAACTAAATGTTCACAGGAGGAGGGACTCATTTCAGGGTGGTGTGTCAGAAACAACAAAAGAAACAAAGCATGACAACACACAGATAAATATCTGTAAAAGCTGTTTTACCCTTTTGTTTTCGAATTCTCCAAGGCTTCACAGTTTCAGATGGACCACTGGCTCCCAAGTCATTTTTTGCCACAACCCTAAAGTAGTAGTCCCGGCCTGGGATCAGTTTGGTGAATGTGAACTTGTTGGTGTAGATCAGGTCACCCACCACATGCCACAAGCCCTTTTGTGATTCACGTTTCAGGACTGTGTAGTAGAGATTACTTTCCCATTTCTCAGATGCTGATGGCTCCCAGGTTACTGTCACTGTATTGGGCACATTCTCTTCCAATCGAATGGGTCCAGGCGACTGTGGGATATCTGCCAGATGAAGGCCAATAATATCAAAGATGTAAGAAAAGTAGCACAGTACAGAACCCTAAAAACTTTGAGTCCATTCTGTTGCTGGCGGCTGAATAAACATCCTGGTCATCAGAGGGGACAAAATTTGATTCCTTCTCCAGTCACACAAACACATTTGCTATTAACTGAACTTCTGCTGCATTATACCTGCATTGCTGAGCATCCTTATAGAGATGAGATGAGGGCTGGCACAGCTAAACTTTTTCACCTCTTACAGAGACAGCATACAGAGTTGTGGCTACACTACATGTCCTACAGCCTGCTGCTGACTAACCTTAGACTGTTATGAAGAGAATGAACTGCTCTCCTGTGGTTTGCACTATCCACATGTCTTTGCCTTTTTAAGCAGAGTCACTCTGGAAGCCAGGTATAATTTTAATCAGTAGATTGCTCTGTCCTGCAGACACAGCCAAGTGATACTGCAAAGTGGCAAGACTGAACCTCAGGAAAACTGTCCTCTAGTTCTCCCTGCGCCTGCATGGCTTAACTGCATCAGAACTCACCGTGCCAAACTCAGTTTGTTTCCTACTGCCTATTCACCATAATTCTGTGTGGTAGTGAGTGAGTTACCTGTAACTTGAACTTGGAAGCTGAATGTTTCTCTTTTCCCTAACCCATTCTGGAGCTCAATGGTGTAGGTGCCACTGTCACTGAACTCAGCTGCTCCGATCAGCAGCTGGGTGGTGCCGTCCTTGGTGTTTATTGTAGCCCGTTTTGGAAGAGGAAGCCCATCCTTCAACCAGGTCACCACTGGATCTGGAGATGCCTGTAAAGAACAACATGAGTTACAGACAACTTGTTTTGCCTCCAGATTGCGTCTTTACATCTTTGATTTCATTGTCTTGTCCCAAATGTATATGTACATGACACAGTAAAGTAATACTTAGAAATTGGGATCCAAGATGGATCTAAGAGCCCTGCCTAAAGGGTTGCTCTAAAGTTTCTTTGTAATTTTACTCTTTCTCTGTTTCTTTTAAGAATGTTATTGTAGTAAGGTGCTCAGGTTAACTATGTCAAACAAGGTCTGCTAGACCAAAACCAACAGGTGATGCCAGTAGTTAATATTTTCTACTTTTAAAAAGATCTGGTGGTTTTGGAAAGAAAATTATTTATTTCTGCTGTACCATCTTTGGTCTCTATTCTCCAAGGTATTAGGAGAAAGGCCAGCAAAAATGCACACTTTGTCTTCATGAACCTCTTCTTGATATCCCAGGCTTTACCTGTGTTGTTCCAAGCTTACATCAAAGCACATTGGATTTCTGTCAGTGCATGCCTATTTCTCAAGTCATATAGCTTAAGTCCTGCTGCTTGGTAAGACAAACGCGGTCAAGATGTTGCTAGAAATGCTACCCCAAGGTCTTCCAAGGTAGTCAGAGGGAAATCAACTGATTTTTAAACTCTAAGTATTAGTACCAGATGATGATAATATTAGATTATTAGATGAAAAGCATTGTGCCTTATTTGCAGAGGTTAATGAATGACCATAATCCCCCAAAACACTAATGCCAATAGTGACAGCTGAATTCCTGTTCTAGTTTTCCTCATGCTGAAAGTATGCACGGCACAGGCAGGTTAAAGGATTTGCCCAGTGTCTTGTAAACAAAATGTCACGCCAAGAAAACAGTAGCTCAGTTTTCATGTCTGTTATTGACTACAACATAAAAACAGATGGGGAATTCTCACAAACAGATTTGAATACATACTTCAAAGGGAATATTCACTCGGATGGTATTTCCTGCTTTTATAACCAGGAAGCTTTTCACTGTGTCATCTATTAGTAACCTGGGAGAAACTGGAAAAGACAGTGATTACAATAAAAACTTGTACATTATTACAGTCACTGGCTGACAAAATCATATGCACATGTTTGATATCTGAGGAGAAAATACACTTTTGGTGGTTCTTTGATCATAATGAGTCTTTAGCATGAGCTGAGCACTGTGCATTGCATATTTATTATCAGTTAAATCTTCAGAATTTCCTGATGAGGTGACTGAATAAGGCCATACTCTAGAGAAGAAATGTCCTTCTGCTACAGTCTGAGACTTGAAAGAAGCTCATCACAGTGACCTACAGACCTCGCCTGCATCCTGTTACCTGTGGAATGACCTTGTTCATTCTGAAAGCAGCCCACTTTGTCTTACCTATAGGGGAAGCAGCTTCAGTGCAAGCTTCAAGCTCTGCAGCTTCTCCTGGGCCACTGTCATTGAGGGCTCTCACACGTAGGAAGTACACCTCCTTGGCTTGGAGGCCTTTAACTGTGTAAGCGGTCACCTTGATGGGGAGAGCATTGCATTTGGTCCAGTTGAAGTTGTTAGAAGACCGCATCTCCACGTCATAGCCTCTCACATCACTCCCATCTTTTGCTTCAGGTCTCTTCCATGTCAAGGTGACACTAGTGCTGTCACTGCTGCTCACTTTAAGGTCCTGCACTTGACCTGGAGATTCTGAAAAGATTAATTTTATTTAAACTATTTTTCTAGGATTTCTGTCCCCCCTTTTCAGTCACTTCCCGAGACTCTTCAACATTCTTGAAGTGCACTGGATATCCACCCTGCTGTCCTGCTTCCACCTTGTCCTAGTTCTTCAAAGCTGGATCCAATCTGCAACACTCCTGAAACGGTCTGCAACCCATCCTGGATACTTCTCCACACTGCACATAACTCCCACTCAGGGAGTCTGCCACATCTTGACTTACGCACCACACAGGAAATCCTTCCATTCCTTCCTCATGCTGATAGTGTCCTCTCAGCCATGACACATTCTCCAATTATTTGATCTTTGTCTCCACATACTTTTACAAAGCATTTAAAAACATGCCTCTCCACTAACATCATCAGTCTACATTCCGCTTCACGTATCCCCAAGCCAGAAGGATGGGGGGCAGTGCACTTACTTGTGGAATCCCGTGCAAAGACAGGCTGTGATGGTTCACTGGCATCTCCTACGCCAGCAGCATTGACAGCTGCCACACGAAATTCATACTGCAGACCTCTCTTGAGATTGGTCATTTTCAGCTTCTTGTCTGCAGAAAGAAAAGGAGTGTGTTGGCTCAGGTGAGCTGCTTCCCAAGCAGGAAAGGGTGAGACAACAATGCTGTACTTTAGTCCATGCAGAATTGTGGACTGAATAATTCTCAGGAGCCATGTATAAATGCCGTCACTGATTCCCCTGCCCTTCTCTATCCAAGTGCATATATATTTCTGGGATGTGTTCATTGTATTCCCTTTCAAATCAAACAGCACTTGAGAGCTATTAAGTTAGAGAAATGATAAATACTACTTTTCCTCCTGGGATAATCCTAAACTTTTCTATACCAGATAAGAAGTCCTAGTTTCCACCTGATAGATAGTGCTAGCTATAGTCAAAACACGTTTTGGAGCTCATACACATCACTTGTGTTTCTTTATAATCCTTGCATTTATAAATTCCTGTCTGCCAAGTTCCTAGCACAAGGACTAAGGACAGTAGTTCTGCATGAGAAGTGAAGACTTTAGTTCCAGAAATTGAAGACGTGCGTTTATCTAGAGAGGAGCTACGTCCCAGGATGCAGCAGTGAGCTTGTCTGCACTATTCTCCAGCCATATGCTTGCACACAATCTACAAAAGATCATAATCCTCCTCCCAGGCATTCAGCTGTATATAGACCCAAGACCTGGCTTTGCTATAGCACAGCCATAAAACCTAGGTTGTGAGAAAAATGTGGTTGTAAGAAACATATACACTAGAGCTGTGAAAGATAAGAACATAGAACTCCAGACAGGAGTAATATGTTTGCAATGGGGACAGTCAGCAGCTTAAGATTTCAAGAAGAAAATCACTGATGTGAAAATGTATAAGATCCTAAGCAGTCCTGAAAGCTCACTTTTTTGCCTTTTTCAAGTCTGCCAAGCCTGTTCCAGGATTTAAGCTACCTACCTGCTACAGGCACATTGTTGACTGGCAGCCAGGTCATGGTACCCTTCTTGCGTTTTTGAATGATATATCCCACAATTCGGGAACTGCCAGTCTTACGAGGTGCTTTCCAGGATATTGTGATGGTGTCTCTGCTGGCACTGACAATCTCAGGGGGATCTGGGGCACCAGGTGAAGCTAGAAAAAGATTAGAATTTTATTATTGGCAGGTATATTTTTATTGCAAGATAAGAAAGTATTCTGTGTAATTTCTTCCTCCAGTTTCCCCAAGGTATTCATATGGATGTGTTCTGAAAACCTGACTGAGACCTGAAGCTGTGTATCTTATTCCCCACACAAACAGGATCCAGCATGGACCTCTGTTCCTGAATTTTGTTTTCATAAATGACCTGCTTTCATCACAACTGACAACTCCACTGTCACCTTACGGAGTGAGGCATGTCATTCTTACATGGTAGGAAAAGTCAGCATTATTCTTGCTTTTAATGACAGAAACTGGAAACATAATGGATTTTCTTAGCCCTCTGCCAGATTATTCAAAATACAGGGCTTCTCATAATCATGAGGAGGAGAACGTAGACAGAAGAAAATTAGAAATAGAATAGAACATTACTTTCTCTCCAGTACTAAATTCATGCTTATGGGAAAACAATTCTAGTATTTAAAATCATTGAAGGACAAAGAATAGAATTAGTTGTTTGGAAATCAGGGGAATGAAGTGGTCATGCTGAAAAACACTGCACATATGGAGACACTCCTTTGCCTATGGAGTTAAGAAAAGGCCTCACATGTTCCCTTTGTAGCCATCCTGGGGAAAATTTCCTCTGATCTTGATGCATATTGCATTTCTGCCATGAAACTTGCCTTCCGATTCATAATGGAGCACAACTGAGAATATAAAGCCATCTCATTCAGCATCACCAAAGCCTACAATAAACTTCTAGTCTTGATGTGCAATCTCCACAGATTTGTGTGAAGACTTCACAGCTGTGATTCAAGTTTATCTCTGTAGCAACATCCAAAATGCAGTGAGTTTTCTTTGATGTCAGCTTTGATAATGAATTTATCATTATAGACAGACGGTTGTTGAACACAATTATGAAAAATTTTTCCATACCTTTACTGACAGCCTTCACTTCATCTGATTCCAGTGCATCACTAGTTCCCTCGGCATTCACAGCTCTCACCCTGAAGTAGTAACTCGTGTCTTGTTCCACTTTGTTAGTAGTGAAGGTAGTACAGCTCCTGGGGGTTTCTCCCAAAGTCACCCAGTCGTTCTTGCCTATCTGCTGACTCTCAACAATGTAGCTTTGCACTGGTTTGCCCCCATCATCTTTTGGGGGATTCCACTGAATGGTGATATCGTTTGCAGAGCTTTCTACAATTTTGATGGGTCCTGCAGGTGGCTGTGGCTTGTCTGAAAAGATGAACACAGAGAGAGTATGAGTTGGCTCCAGACACAGACATGCTCCTGGGTTTGGAGCAGACACTGTCTCTTGCTCACCAGCTGGGAGACTCAGCTTCTGATGGACTGCCTGCATAGTTGCAGAATGAGGGCTGGGCACTTGAACTGCTTCTTCAGAACTTAAACTCTTCTAACTTTTGATAAGGGCATGGTGTAGGGGGGTAAACCCAGGCCCTTGCTCCATGGACTAATTGTTCTCATAAGCACTGCACCAATTCAGTTTGCTTATAAGGAAGAACATAATTTCTGGTCTTCCAAAAGAGCACGGGCATTTGTGGTAGGGCTGAATTTGGCCTCGATAATCTATTTTAGATTGGCTTGTTGTGCATAGTCCCATCTCCCACAGTCACCCAACATTTAAAACTCAGTTGCTGAGGGCGTGCAAAACCAAGCTAGATTTGTGTCACCTTGAACTAAAAGGCAAGAAACATGTCAGCAATCTTCGCTTGTACCTTGATTTAGTGGAAAATTACACAGTCTTGTTCATCTTGGAATACCTGGTAGCTCTAGATAAGATTGTCACCAGTGAAAGCCGCAGTGGATGTTACGGGGCTCTTACCTATTACCACAAGCTTTAAGTTGATCTCCAGGACCCCACTGTCATTCTTCAGCCTGACTTTGTAATCTCCACAGTCCTTTCTCTCACTGCTGGAGATGGACAGCATGGTAAAGGTCTCTGTTTTATCAACACGAATCCTTGTGTCATCGACCAGCTCCATTCTGTCCTTTAGCCACATTGCTCTGACTGGCAGCCGGCCCTCAAATGGGATCTTGATCTTTACATTCTGGCCTGCCTTGGCCACAGTAGGAACGCTTGTTAAGTTTTTGAGGAGAACTTTGTCAACCTGTGGAGGATCTAAGCAGGTGATACAAGGTCATTAAAAACTGCAATTCAAAGAGGATAAGGCTCGACTTGGAGGGAAGGACTTCCCTCGTGATGCTGTGAATAATGCTCAAGAATCTCACAACATTTGGACCCCCACCTTTAGTTGCATGCTCAGTGCTTCACATACATACATGTACTTTGCTACAGGATAATTATCACAAAGTATTTGTGGTATCATACTGTCCTTTTCACTGGAGCAAATTTCTCATAGGCAATACACTAAACACAAGAATGAAGAATCTGGTCTGATAGTGTTATACACACCCCAAAATCCTTGAGTTAATAATAGAAGCTATTCAGGAAGTCTCCCTAGTTAAATTTGTACATACAAAATTCACTGACCTGTACAAAAAACTATTTACCCGGTAATTCTTTATTATAAAGTTGTCTCAATAATCAACTATAGGTCTCTAAGAAAATGTATTATGTTTAAAGAACATCCAGGCTAGCATGCTGCATTGGTAGTTTGAATAGACTCACCTTCAACAAAAACTGAAGCTTCAGTTTTTATATCTCCACCTTCAAACCTGTATTTCCCAGCATGAATATCTTCCACTTTATTAATAATTAGTTTGTGGACTAGACCTTCCTTTTCAAAAAAGACCCCATCCATGTTTGTTAACTACAAGGTAAAACACAGAGACCCATCCTTTAAAAAAAGGGAAAAAAAGGGCAAACCGAACTTAAGCTGAACAGAAAAAAATTGAAAAGTAATTGAAAATAATTATGAATGACACACATGTTTAATTACAATAATATTCTGGGATTACTTAATCTGGTAACATTGCATATAAGCATGATCAACATACTTCCCACAAAGAGTTGATTCAAACACTATTAAAATAAATTTTAGTAAAATCTTCAAGCTCTCTTTTTCTATTCTTAATGACAAAAACTTTGGCCCATGCTTGAGTATGACACCTCAAAGCTCCTACAGTATCATCTGGATTCCACAACTGGAATTACTCTTCAGTGTTTTGGAACACATAATATGATGTCTATGCTTGACCTTAAGCACTAATTTGAAAGAGCATTCTTCATATTATGCCTGCCTGAAGGATCTGTCAAAGATTTTTCCCTCGCTTTTTGCATATTTCCTTCATTCACCAAGGAAAAGAAAAAGGATTGCATTGCAAGGAAGAGACCCACACCATCTCCACCCCTGTAAAAGAATGGAGAACACAAAGCCTCCTGTTGTCAGCAACAATGGAAAGGCCTTGTAGCAGGAAGGGGGAGGAATCTTGCTGGTTTTCTATCAAGAATTTTATTATCAATAGGCTCCTGCAGAATCATTCCAGGGCCATACTCAGACTACAGTAAGACTGGCAGAGGGAAGGACACCGTGACACAACACTTAATAAGAGGTAGAGCCACAGAGCAGAACATTGCTAACTGAAGAAAACAGTAGCTAGAAGGCACCTACCTTTAATCCATCTTTAAACCAGGTTCCTGTCACTTCATCTTTACTGACAGTGCAAGACAGCTCAGCTGGTTCCCCTTTCAGGACTCTGACATCAAGTAAGTGTTTGTTGACATGACAGCGTGGTGCTGATCATTCAGAAAATAAAATGTTGAAAAGATGTTAACTCTGTGTTACACTGACAGAGAGAAATGTATAGATGAAAATGCATGCATAGGAGAAGAAAAGAGAGCCTTTTAAAAAATATATACTTATAGCCATGACGAGCTTTTGTACTGCAGCACTATGGACCAGCTGGCATAAACTCACTGCACTGAAGGGACACACCAGCTGGCCAGCACACAATGTAGTCTGAACATCAATCTAATGGGCAATGGTTTCATCACAAATGACACTATCCATCTACAGATTTACTATTTTAAGTCTATGTTAATTGTCTTGGCTCCTTCTACAGCCAATGGGAAAACATAGGCTACTCCAGGATCTGAATATAGTAATCCAACATACTTTTCCTCTGCACTGACCAGATACAGGGCTGCCCAACCACTTCCCCCTAAACAGCTCCAAGTCATGATACTCTCTACCCCTGTATTCCTCTTTCTCTTCCCATGTTCTTCTCCATTAACATCCTCATTCCCTCTCTAATAAACTCCCCACCTCCTTCCCCATTAACTCAAATTTTGTTGATTTTACTTCCTTATTTATATTTATGTTTTGTTTGCCTTGATAATTTCTAACTTGTCAGCAATTCCATTAAGTGATTATTCCCTTTTGGTTATATATTTGAAGTTTCTAATTTCTACAATTTTCACATTCTCATCCTGCTAGGGTAGCCACTGGTCTTAGTCAGATGGCGGCATACACATTACTCTCCTTTTACTATATTCAACACCTTATTATTTCTGATGTTACAAGAGAAAAGAGCTCTCTATATTAGGCTCAATGTGCATATTAATCCAATATAAGCAAGCACAGATTTGTTCCCAAACTTGGAAAAATACAGATCTTTGCACTAGATGTTAGAACAAATAAAGTGAAATGACAAGTTTTAAAGTGGAACAATATCAAAGAAACATGGCCATATTCCTGGAAACTATATGGAACTAGTACGTTTGTGAACTGAAATCTGTTCAATGTGGATCTGAGTCATTTATTTGAATGAGCAGATGATACCTGTTTAAAAGAATTTAAATGAAGATCATTTAGACTTTTAAGGCAGTTTGATCTGAGAAAATTGAGTAAAAGTCAAACAGCAAATCAGTTGTAGAATTAGAAATGGATCACTGTATAACCAAATTTCTACATACAGCTACATTTTTCTAAGCCATAATATTAAATCTCACCAGGATTATGAACGTGATTATGAAAATGCAAAGACCAGCAATACAGAAGTCATCAATTAAACACTCACCTTTCAGATCATCTAGGCAATAACGTCTTCTTTTTCCCATACTTTCTGCATTCTTTAAGAAATCATTTGCTTTAACATTAAGGCTGGGTTCTTGTTTTCTCTGTTTTATTGAAAGAGGTCCACCATAAAGATCTGACATCTGACCATAATCCAATGAACCTTGACCAAAACTACCTGAATTCCTCTCATCAACAGATCTGTTACGGGATTTACTCCCTGCCCCTCCAAAGGCAGAATTCTTGCCATAAAGGGATCCTAACTGTCCTAAATCTCTGCCCTCACCTCTGGCATCTACTTGACCCAAAAGTGAATCTCTGTCACCAGATGAACCTTTGTTCCCTGATCCTCTGAAATGACTGGCAGTGCCCTTTCTAGTTTCACCTCCAGTAGATTTGCCAGGATGTGAATCCAACCCATATTTACCACCTTGTCCAACAGCACCCACCACACCTTCTTTACCATGTAACTTCCTTTCATCACCTCCCAACCTGCCAACACCACCCAGAGCAGCCCTGGCTCCAGCTGACCCACTGTCCTTGCCATAGGGAGACCCAGCACCCCGTCTTGCAGAACCACCAAGACTACTGCCTCCTGAGGAAAAGCCATCTCTGCCTGCTCCACCGATATATCCTTCAGCCCTGTTCACCATGGCATCCCTGCCATGGGAAGGTCCCATTCCTTCTTCACCTCCAAAAGGAAACTGAGCATCTCCTGCCACAGACCCAGTTGGGAGACCATCCTTCCCATATAAAGAACCAATGCCCTTTGAACCAGCTAAACCAGCACCAGCTCCAGATAGAAGACCATCCTTTCCATAAGGAGATAAAAACTCACTAAAACCAGCTCCACCAGTAGCAGCTCCAGTTCTCATTCCCACTCCAAGACCACCCTTTCCATAGGAAGAACCAGCTCCTCCTGCACCAGCTACACCAGCACCACCAATGCCAGCATCAACTGGAAAACCACCTATTTCATAGGGAGATCCAACTCCCCCTGCACCAGCTACACCAGAACCACCAATGCCAGTGTCAGCGGGGACACCATGCTTTCCATAAGGAGACCCAACTCCCCCAACACCAGCAACACCAAGACCAGCCCCAGCTGGAAGACCATCTTTTCCAAAGGGAGAACCAGGTCCCCCTGAACGAGCACCACCAATGCCAGAACCAACTGGAAGACCGTCCTTTCCATAAGGAGACCCAACTCCCCCCGCACCAGCTACACCAGCACCACCAATGCCAGCACCAGCTGCAAGACCGTCCCTTCCATAAGGAGACCCAACTCCCCCTGCACCAGCTACACCAGCACCACCAATGCCAGCACCAACTGGAAGACCGTCCTTTCCATAAGGAGACCCAACTCCCCCTGCACCAGCACCACCAATGCCAGCACCAACTGGAAGACCGTCCTTTCCATAAGGAGACCCAGCTCCCCCTGCACCAGCACCACCAATGCCAGCACCAACTGGAAGACCGTCCTTTCCGTAAGGAGACCCAACTCCCCCTGCAGCAGCTACACCAGCACCACCAATGCCAGCACCAACTGGAAGACCGTCCTTTCCATAAGGAGACCCAACTCCCCCTGCACCAGCTACACCAGTGCCAGCACCAGCTGGGAGACCATCCTTTCCGTAAGGAGACCCAACTCCCCCTGCACCAGCTACACCAGCACCACCAATGCCAGTGCCAGCTGGGAGACCATCCTTTCCATAAGGAGACCCAACTCCCCCTGCACCAGCACCACCAATGCCAGCACCAGCTGGGAGACCATCCTTTCCATAAGGAGACCCAACTCCCCCTGCACCAGCACCACCAATGCCAGCACCAACTGGAAAACCGTCCTTTCCATAAGGAGACCCAACTCCCCCTGCACCAGCTACACCAGCACCACCAATGCCAGTGCCAGCTGGGAGACCATCCTTTCCGTAAGGAGACCCAACTCCCCCTGCACCAGCTACACCAGCACCACCAATGCCAGCACCAACTGGAAGACCGTCCTTTCCATAAGGAGACCCAACTCCCCCTGCACCAGCACCACCAATGCCAGCACCAACTGGAAGACCATCCTTTCCATAAGGAGACCCAACTCCCCCTGCACCAGCACCACCAATGCCAGCACCAACTGGAAGACCATCCTTTCCATAAGGAGACCCAACTCCCGCTGCACCAGCACCACCAATGCCAGCACCAGATGGAAGACCATCCTTTCCATAAGGAGACCCAACTCCCCCTGCACCAGCTACACCAGCACCACCAATGCCAGCACCAGCTGGGAGACCACCCTTTCCATAAGGAGACCCAACTCCCCCTGCACCAGCTACACCAGCACCACCAATGCCAGCACCAGCTGGGAAACCATCCTTTCCATAAGGAGACCCAACTCCCCCTGCACCAGCACCACCAATGCCAGCACCAACTGGAAGACCGTCCTTTCCATAAGGAGACCCAACTCCCCCTGCACCAGCACCACCAATGCCAGCACCAACTGGAAGACCGTCCTTTCCATAAGGAGACCCAACTCCCCCTGCACCAGCACCACCAATGCCAGCACCAACTGGGAGACCATCCTTTCCATAAGGAGACCCAACTCCCCCTGCACCAGCTACACCAGCACCACCAATGCCAGCACCAGCTGGGAAGCCATCCTTTCCATAAGGAGACCCAACTCCCCCTGCACCAGCTACACCAGCTCCACCAATGCCAACGCCAACTGGAAGACCGTCCTTTCCATAAGGAGACCCAACTCCCCCTGCACCAGCACCACCAATGCCAGCGCCAACTGGAAGACCGTCCTTTCCATAAGGAGACCCAACTCCCCCTGCACCAGCTACACCAGCACCACCAATGCCAGCACCAACTGGAAGACCGTCCTTTCCATAAGGAGACCCAACTCCCCCTGCACCAGCACCACCAATGCCAGCACCAACTGGAAGACCGTCCTTTCCATAAGGAGACCCAACTCCCCCTGTACCAGCTACACCAGCACCACCAATGCCAGCACCAACTGGGAGACCATCCTTTCCGTAAGGAGACCCAACTCCCCCTGCACCAGCACCACCAATGCCAGCACCAACTGGAAGACCGTCCTTTCCATAAGGAGACCCAACTCCCCCTGCACCAGCACCACCAATGCCAGCACCAAGTGTGAGACCATCCTTTCCATAAGGAGACCCAACTCCCCCTGCACCAGCACCACCAATGCCAGCGCCAACTGGAAGACCGTCCTTTCCGTAAGGAGACCCAACTCCCCCTGCACCAGCACCACCAATGCCAGCACCAACTGGAAGACCGTCCTTTCCATAAGGAGACCCAACTCCCCCTGCACCAGCACCACCAATGCCAGCACCAGATGGAAGACCATCCTTTCCATAAGGAGACCCAACGCCCCCTGCACCAGCACCACCAATGCCAGCACCAGATGGAAGACCATCCTTTCCATAAGGAGACCCAACTCCCCCTGCACCAGCACCACCAATGCCAGCGCCAACTGGAAGACCGTCCTTTCCGTAAGGAGACCCAACTCCCCCTGCACCAGCACCACCAATGCCAGCACCAACTGGAAGACCGTCCTTTCCATAAGGAGACCCAACTCCCCCTGCACCAGCACCACCAATGCCAGCACCAGATGGAAGACCATCCTTTCCATAAGGAGACCCAACTCCCCCTGCACCAGCACCACCAATGCCAGCACCAACTGGAAGACCGTCCTTTCCGTAAGGAGACCCAACTCCCCCTGCACCAGCACCACCAATGCCAGCACCAACTGGAAGACCATCCTTTCCATAAGGAGACCCAACTCCCCCTGCACCAGCTACACCAGCACCACCAATGCCAGCACCAGCTGGGAGACCACCCTTTCCATAAGGAGACCCAACTCCCCCTGCACCAGCTACACCAGCACCACCAATGCCAGCACCAGCTGGGAAACCATCCTTTCCATAAGGAGACCCAACTCCCCCTGCACCAGCACCACCAATGCCAGCACCAACTGGAAGACCGTCCTTTCCATAAGGAGACCCAACTCCCCCTGCACCAGCACCACCAATGCCAGCACCAACTGGAACACCGTCCCTTCCATAAGGAGACCCAACTCCCCCTGTACCAGCTACACCAGCACCACCAATGCCAGTGCCAGCTGGGAGACCATCCTTTCCATAAGGAGACCCAACTCCTCCTACACCAGCACCACCAATGCCAGCACCAACTGGAAGACCATCCTTTCCATAAGGAGACCCAACTCCCCCTGCACCAGCTACACCAGCACCACCAATGCCAGTGCCAGCTGGGAGACCATCCTTTCCATAAGGAGACCCAACTCCCCTGCACCAGCACCACCAATGCCAGCACCAACTGGAAGACCATCCTTTCCATAAGGAGACCCAACTCCCCCTGCACCAGCTACACCAGCACCACCAATGCCAGCACCAACTGGAATACCGTCCTTTCCGTAAGGATACCCAACTCCCCCTGCACCAGCTACACCAGTGCCAGCACCAACTGGAAGACCATCCTTTCCGTAAGGAGACCCAACTCCCCCTGCACCAGCACCACCAATGCCAGCACCAACTGGGAGACCATCCTTTCCATAAGGAGACCCAACTCCCCCTGCACCAGCACCACCAATGCCAGCGCCAACTGGAAGACCGTCCTTTCCATAAGGAGACCCAACTCCCCCTGCACCAGCTACACCAGCACCACCAATGCCAGCACCAGCTGGGAGACCATCCTTTCCATAAGGAGACCCAACTCCCCCTGCACCAGCACCACCAATGCCAGCACCAACTGGAAGACCGTCCTTTCCATAAGGAGACCCAACTCCCCCCGCACCAGCTACACCAGCACCACCAATGCCAGCACCAGCTGCAAGACCGTCCCTTCCATAAGGAGACCCAACTCCCCCTGCACCAGCTACACCAGCACCACCAATGCCAGCACCAGCTGCAAGACCGTCCTTTCCATAAGGAGACCCAACTCCCCCTGCACCAGCTACACCAGCACCACCAATGCCAGCACCAACTGCATAACCATCCCTTCCATAAGGAGACCCAACTCCCCCTGCACCAGCTACACCAGCACCACCAATGCCAGACCCAGCTGGGAGACCATCCTTTCCATAGGAAGACCTATATCCCCCTGCAACAGCTGCACCAAGACCATCTCCAACTGGGAGACCATCCTTGCCATAAGGAGAATCAACTCTGCCTGAACCAGCACCACTAAGATGAGCCCCAGCTGGAAGACCACCTCTTCCATAGGGAGACCCAACTCCCACTGCACCAGCTACACTTGCACCACCAATGCCAGCTCCTACTGGGAGACCATCCTTTCCATAGGGAGACCCAACTCCCCCTGCACCAGCTACACCAGCACCACCAATGCCAGTGCCAACTGGGAGACCATCCTTTCCATAGGAAGACCCAAATCCCCCTGCAAAAGCTGCACCAGCTACACCAGCGCCACCCATGCCAGCGCCAACTGGAAGACTGTCCTTTCCATAGGGAGACCCAACTCCCTCTGTACCAGTTTCACCAGCACCACCTATACCAGCGCCAACTGGGAGACCATCCTTTCCATACAGAGACCCAACTCCTTCTGCACCAGCAGCACCAAGACTAGCCCCTGCTGGAAGACCATCCTTTCCGTACGGAGACCCAACTCCTGCTGAACCAGATACACCAGCACCACCAAGACCAGCTCCAACACGGAGACCATCCTTACCATACAGAGACCCAAATCCCCCTTCACCAGCTCCACCAATGCCTGCTCCACCTTGGAGACCATGCTTTCCATAGGGTGTCCCAATTCCCCCTGCAACAGTTCCTCCACCATCACCAGCACCTGCTCCAACTGGCTGACCATCTGGACCATATGAAGCCTCCATTTCCCTTGTAGAACTGCTGCTTGCATCAGATATTGCCCTATCTCCAGCCGAAAGACCACCTGGAGCATATAGCAAGCCAGATTTTCCTGCCTGACCTAAATGACTGCTAGCATGAAATGTCAGGCCATCCTTGCCATAGGGAGTCCCTGTTTGTCCTTCTCTGTTTATACTTGCTCCATTCATATAATCTGCAGTCGGCAGTCCATCCTTGCTATAGGGGGACCTCGTTCCTCCTGCAGTCTCAGTACCTGCAGCATTCTTTCTAGCTCCAGTCCCTAGATTAGTCCAATTGAACTGATCACCCTTACCGCCCTTACTGTGTCCAACTCCAGCTAAATCAGGAACATGTCCATCTAATACAGATCTTTCATCACTAGCACCTAATCTCCCAACACCCCCAAAGCTAGCTCTGTAACTAGCATCACCTAATTTACCATCCTTGTCACGCTGAGAGCCCACACTATCTCCATCATCCATGTCAACATTAACAGCATCCAGCTTACCATCATCTCTGCCATTCCCAGAATACCATTCACCTGCTCCTCCTAATCCATCACCAGTATCTGCTTTGCCTTCCACAGAATCCTTGCTGCGGAAAGGCCTTAATCCACTTTTGCCTCCTAAACCTTTTAGTCCAAAGCTACTACCATCATTTGCCACTGAGTCTCCATCTAAGTCTGCTCCAGAAAACTGCCCAAACTCCATCCTTCCATTTCTGTGGGCTCCATGTAGCCCTTCTTTTCCCAAAAATCTATGGCTTCCATCAACATCAATGGAGTGGCCTTGACTGCCGCCTTGACCATTTCTGTACCAGCCATCTTTTTCCACACCATTGTCCATAAGATGATCTTCATCACCAACATATTCTCTGCTTCGAAGTTTCTTCACCCTGTCGTTATCTGGCAAAGTTTCTTTCATCCACTCAGATTTCTCTCTTTCACTTCCATCACCCTGTCTCCTCTTTCCTTTGGCATCTGTATTGAAGTTGCATTGTTTGATTGAAGAAGATATAATTTACAGGAAAAGAAAGGAAAAAAAAAAGAACAGACAACCAGTAGGTCATGTACTGCATCAACAACCAAATAAAATGTGTTAGCATTTTGTTGTAATTTCATTTGAGGACACAGAAACATAATATATTTAAATAAATTTAAATTCTGCTCAAATCCTGATTTTTTTTCAGTGTCACATTCAGACATAATTTTACATTTATTAGTTAAAAGAGAATTATTTTTAGTGGCAACACGCTTGTTAAAAAAACAACCAACTAAAATAAAACAGAAAACCAAGGAAAATTTCCAGCATGACAGGTCTAATTTAGAGGGGCTTAGATAGTATCCGGGACTCATTAGTCCCTTCTCCCTCCAGCCCTGGAGGAGTTACAGAATATCCCACGCACAGAGTGGCCATCAGTTCCCACCCGTGAACTATGATCTCACTGCTACAGAGGCAGCTTGTGCATTTGTCATCCTGGCATTTTAGAGATGGCTAACCTGAAGACTAAAGATTCCAGTTCTGTGAATAGCTTTGTTTTAATCCAAAATTCAGGTTTTTCTGAGAGCAGGTCACTCACTGTTTTGATTTCCAAGCTAGATCTCATTTCTCTAAAGCATTAACAGCCCAATGAAATCAGTGGGCAGTTTCTTTATATGTCATACTCAAACTGCCCTGTTTCTGAAAGGTCATCAAAAAAGCCTTTATTAAGGAGACCACCTTTTGCTGCAGCAGGATCTCAAAAGAAACCAAAGCAACTACCTTTCAGAAGCAAAATAATATGAGCCAGCTAACAATTAATCTGCTTGCACTGAAAGGAGTGTTTCCCATCTCCCCAGCTTCCTTTCAGCTTCTTCTAACGTGTTTAACCTCCAATTTGGAAAGAAAAATACTATCTAGCAAGATAGTATTGAAAGCTTCATGATCCCCTGTATGCTGTATTGTGCTCACACAGTGACAGCTTCATCAAAAACACATATTGAGATATGGAGCATTTTTCAATAACTGATGGAGAACTTCATAGTAGCTGTAGAGTAAATAAGTAAATAGGATTTGTCAGGACTAATTAAAAGGGATAAAAACTGTCTCATCTGAAGAGGAAAGAGGGTGAAACCAGACCTTCATTCTTCCAAATATAATTTAGGAACTAGAGGCTCTGCAATTCATTTCTCAGCATAGATTCATCTCAGTGAGCAATCAGGCCATGAGAGGAATATTATTTTGTTAACACATCTCAAGCCAACACCATGGGAATAATACCGTGTTACTTACACTCTACAATAAGCCAGGCATTTGAGGAGCAGAGTCCAGTGTCGAGCGTGTACATGCCGTTGTCAGAGGGCACAACATTTTTGATAATCAGCTGGTGGGTCAGACCGTCAGGTGTTACAGAGATCTGGTGCTTCTCACTCGCCTCAAGAAGGTGGGTTTTGTGTAGCCAAACAGCATCGTAGCAGGGTGTGCGTAGGAGACACTCAAAGACAGCATCTTCTTCCTCAGGGCAACGCACATCACTGAGTGGCTGCACAAACCTCACAGGGATGGCTGCAAAGGAAAAATGAAAAGCTATAGAAAGGCAATAAAGAGCTATTTCTGTCTTCAAAGAAAAACTTGTTGCAGCTGAAGACAGACAGGCAGACAGGAACTTGTCATGCCTGTGAGCATTGGTTTAAGCAGAAAAAGGTAAAAGAGATGTGCTCCTGTACCCAATTCTGAAGGACAGAAAAGGTGAAAAGTGGATCTTTGTCTTTATTATCTTCTGAGACATTTATACCACACATCACTGTGATGTGCTGATAATGTGCAGTCATTAATGTATTTCAGCAGCACGATACTTGTATTGAGTTGGTCGTTATTATTCTGAGTTTACAAAAGGAAACTATAACATGGGCTAAGTTAAGGAATTTGCATACTGTCATCCAGAAGTCAAACTGGTACTTGAACCTAGTCCTTTGGACTAAAAATGCAACACCCATATCATGTAATCACCCTCCTGCTCTTTTTCACCTGTGTCATATAAAAAGCCCTTATTTGGCAATATAAAAACAGTCTTCTGTAGTTACCAGGTTTTACTCCTGAGCTTTGCATATACTCCTAGATAAAATATTTCAGCAAAAAATAATTTCTTGTTACAGTTGCACATCACATACATCTAATTCAATTCCTTACATTCAGCATCTAATTCAGTTGAGAAAACTGGTACGTCCTCCACTCTGACTTGATACACGCCTGCATCTTCTGGCTGCACATCGTTGATAATGAAATTATACCTTTTTCCAATTCGCCTCAGGCAGTGCTTTCTGTATTCATCCCCTGTTCCATATCTGAGCCTCTCGCCATCCTAGGAAGAGAAAAATATAAACTTAAAGACAGTGCACAACTAGTGCAAGGCATTTCAAACAAATCAGGCCAAATTTGTGCTATTTTTGCCTTGTAGACATAAATGAGTAACAACAGAGGTCTATACTCTATTGCTACTTAGAGTGGACAGGGCTCATTGCCTCTGTAACACACAGACAATACTATGTGCAGTCAGTTCTGCACAGAACAGAGCACCAGACTCTCAAATTAGGCAAACCAATAGTACTTTGTTAGCTCACACATAAGGTTTTGAAGCTTAACTAAAACAGCTACTGTAACTTTGAAGACAAAGTACTTTCTTTGCTTAGATTTTCGCATCCCCATCAATGGATAAGCAGGCAAATTCACCACTTTCCTGTCTGTAACACACTTGAGTTACCTCCTCCGTGTTGCAGCTGCATAGACTTCATGTGATGCATTTGATTCAGAAGTTCATAGAGTTAGTCTGACCTCCTCTTTAGTGAATTCTGATTTCCCCTGTTTCACAGCCACTAACCACAGCTTGACTGAAATGTATCTTCCAGAAAAACATCTACAGAATTGATCACCTGGGGATCACATCAGAGTAACTAGAGAACTAGGTGGGATGTTTTACTTCCATGAGTTCTTCTTTTGCAGAAGTGAATTATAGTGGAATAGCATACTTTCTCAAGTGAATAAAATCAGTTTGTTTTTCTTGTATGAGACTGCAGAATTTCTGCAGCCTGCCTGGAAGACGCTGTTAGAATTTCCTCTTACTGGAAGATCCCTTGAAGTCAAAAGGATGTCAGTAACTGACTGTTTCCCCTGTACCTGCATCTACAAACACCAAGTGATATTCACCACCAAAGACTACCTGGATCCCCACACCAACAGTTCTCCCTAACCAATCAAGAATTCTTCAATGGACAAACAACTTTAAGAAGCTCATTTACACTCAGCCACTACCCAGCAAATTAAACATTTTCTGTAGAAGACTTCAGTGGCTGCTATGAGATGGGGAACTCATCTTGCCCCCTTACCTTAAGCAGATAAACTTTGCTGTTACTATTTTTCAGGTCCATCACCAGGCTGAAGGTAGCTTTTCCCTCCTTGTTGACTTTGATATGTTCAAAGTTTTTGATACTGTGTATTAACTGCAAAGAAAGATACAAGAACAAGTAAATGATAAGGCTGCCATGACAGAAGTTCTTAAGTTGTTGAACTAATGCGAAATCTACTTTTTCTCAGCACAGAAAAGAGCTACCTCTAAATTTATGTGTATGGAGGAAGCATCTATAAGTTTCCACAGTTTCCTCCTGTAGGCAAATTATGTTTTACGTGCTATTTCCTGGTCAGTCACACACTATGCAACCACTGTCTGTCCAGGTTTCTACATGTCCCTGTATATGAAGGCCAGTTTTGACTCTCGGGCATATAACTTTTCAATTTGGGGTCCAAATTATCATCAGAGGCAGCTGAATACAGATTTTAGCTATGTGGTTTAGTAAAATCATTACCCTACAGTCAGTACCTCCTAAAATTTATGAACTGAACTTCAAAACTTTCAGTAGCATTTTCATCTGCATGAGTATAGAAGTAGGACTTCTTTAAAACATTGTCATAAATTATTCTTTGTCATACAATAAAATTTTCATCTACAAAGCGATTTAGGAAGGTTTAGACTGTTTTCAGAAGCTACTGAGGAACAACAGGACTCTGCAGCTTGTTAAAAATCAGTGGTCTCAGTGATATCAGTTTACCTCTCCTTGTTCACTTTCTGTGTCCTTCCTCAACTCCTGCAGCTTCCTCAGCATCCCACGGAAGTCAACAATTCCATATTTCATACAGATTTTCTCATAATCTCTCTTATCTGCATGCAGCAACAGTTGCCAGACTGCTTCTTTGTCCAAAGGTTTTGGTTTTGGTACTGGAGCCCTTAGAACCAGGGGGAAAAAAAATAATCTAGACATTCTGATGGACAACAAGATGTCTTGGTTTTCTATACTTAATTCTCTTTCGTCTCTCTCTCTCCATCATTTCTGTAGTTCACTTGGCCCTGTAGATGTAGACAAGAAAGAATGGGACTCTTCCAGAGCAGGTTTTCTGCATCTATACTACAAATTAAATGCTGCCAGGAAACAGTCTTGCCCTGGGCTATACAGGGCAAGCCTGTAATGCAGCTGTCCACACTGTTAAATTATCAGCAGAGTCACTGGCACAGTTTGGCTCAGACCAACTTGCACTTTCCCAAGTAATTTCTCAGCACAGTTCAGCATTTTACACAAGCCAGAGATCATTCCCATCAGGCAATCTTTGGAGTTTCCCACCTGGGAAGTGAAGGGATTTCAGCAACGTGCACATGGCAGTCTTTGCAGTTGGCCTGGGAGCCAGGGCTCAGTCCCTGTTTAGCCAGAAATACCACTACAGGAAGGCTTGTCACTTAAACAGAAAGTTACTTGTCAACTAAGAACAGCAGAGAAAACAGGAAAGCAGAGAAACACATCTTGTAAGTCAAAACCTTGTGGTGCAGGGGAACATGCACCTCAAAATGAGCTTGGTACCTCGTGTTTATTTTAGCCTCACAGATAGTGGCAAACTGTCCTGTTATGTCTCTCCATATTGAGTCTCACAACAACTTTGGAAACAAGATGTGTTGCCTTGAAGATCTATGGAGCTGCCCCTATCATCAAGAAACACCTAGTAAGTGTAACAGTGGCCTTCACTGCAGAGGCTTACCGCTTCCTCAGCAGCTTCCTGAAGTCCTGAAGCTTCTTCTTTAACTCTATGAAAGGGGGGGGGGGGGGGAGAACAAACAGCATTCAGACACCCAACACTGTAAAATATATCCCCCAAAAGAAGATAATGCAAAATAGCCACTGACAACAGGCCATGCTGCTATGCTGTTTATCTCTGGTGATGTTTTCACACTTTACAAAAAAAAATGCCATGAAACTTAGAGCCAGTTTTCTCTGCCACACTCATATGTTCTAAGTGCCATTAAAGTTCCTCACTTCCTAGGGGCCTTTTCTCTCTTTCTAGAAAGGACACTCTAGAAACTCACTATTTTCCAGATGCGTTAACATGTTTGGTCCAGCTGTATTTGACATCACAAAATCCTTTTCTAGCACTAATGATTCCAGAATCGTTAATTAGAACAGCTCAAAGACATGTCTAAGTTCATCACTTTACCCAAAGGTAAATAGCAAACAGAAAGAGATAACAGAACATTAGCGATTCATTAACCCTTCTCTTACTCTATTCTTCACAAGTTTGGGGTAGTAATAATGTGGTAGTCAGAGGAATATTAACTATGTCCCTCCCTCCCCCAAACAACAACCAAAAATATATCTAACTCTCACTTACCATCAGCAGGATGAACAGGAACATATCTTGCTTTTCTCTTAAAGCCAACTGATAGTTTGTAAGAGAAAACAGAAGAAAAACAAGCCATAAAATGAACAAGATAACAGCCAGACTAACATCAGTAAACCAATGAACTATAAATCCTCTATATCTGTTACTAATGCAAGAGGAAATCCTAGTTTGGATTTTCTTGTCAATCTGGCATTGGCTCCTAGTAATCTCCATTTATAAATGCAATATTTCTGTTGCAACTGACTGTGCTTACTGGATGCTCTACACAGTGGAGGAGAATGTTTCTTCCCTATGAAGCTTATGGTTTAAGGATTGGTAGGAAATATTAACATCTTGTTTTAGAGATGGGGAGCCAAGGTGCAAGGATTGTCTGGCCAAATGCAGATAGTTGCCTCCCAAGCTTACTTTACAGGCACACAGGTGAAATGGATGCTTCCAAGATAGTCCGCCTCCTGCTCAAACAGGTTTCAAGAATTGGTCAGTTGTATTTTACCCACAAAGTGCCCATTTCTCTCCACTGACTACATCAGGTGGACACTATAGACATCTGAAGTGGAGTGGGATTGGATCCCTCCCAAAAGACTCATTCATTCAACATCATGAAGAATGGATTGAACCAATTCAACACTAAACCCAGAGCATCCAGTGTAATGACCACAATACCATTTTCTTCCCCCTTGTCTTAAAGCTCATACTGTCACGGAGCCACCAAAGTGGGAGGAGTCACAGAAGAGTTCCAGTCCTCAGTGAGTGGAAAACAGATCTTCACACGAAGGATAGTTAGACAATGCTCTGGGCACTCACCCCCAGAGGACAGCAAAAGCAACTACTTGGGACCACAGGATCTCTGGAACACGGAATCGATCAATCCTACCTTGTATGATCCTGAGGCCGGCAGAGCATGCAGCTTCCCCATACTCATTCACAGCAAAGAAACGATACAAATCACTGTCATTTGTAGTGAGATTGTTTATCTTAAAAAGAAGAACATAGTAAGACCTCAGAGTGATGTGCTGTGGTTCAGTTCACACACCTTCAGCTTCTAATAAAACTGCTAATTAAGAATGTCTCAGATCTTTCTTCTGTTCCCAGAGTGACTCTAAAAAGCTTTATTTGCTTATCTTTGTGTTATCTCAGATCTGGTCATATCTATATCAGCCCACTGCAGGTTTTTTCTTTCCATTGCTCTCTCTGTTCCATCAGTCCTGTCTGAAATATTTGATCTTTACCTGCAGAATGAATTCATTTGTAGCATTATTGAAGAATGTTTCGTATTTGGCAGGATCATCCATTCCTCCCTGTGCACGCGTCCATTTCACGTCAGGGGTTGGGACACCTTTGACCACAGCCCTGAAAATGGCATTTTTACCTTTGGAAAGAGGCAAGAAAGTAGTTATTTAAGATGGGCTTGAACATGAGGACTCTCATGCCAGGCCCCTTATGTTATCAATAGAGTAATCCCCGGAGTGAGCCATCCTGTTGTTTTAGGCAGAAAAATTATTTGAAAATAACTATATCTTTTTGTTTTTTTCTGGAAAAGGTGACTAAATTACCAGTTTAAATTACATTAAATGCCCAAATTACTGCAGTACATCTGCTATAATCTTCACTCTAACTCACTGGCTTTCAAAGAGATTACCCAAAAATTAACTTTAAAATTCACCACTGACACATATGGTCTTTGCTTGTGTTTTTATTGCACAACCATGCGAATAGAGAAATTACGTATCCAAGAGAGCAATTTTTTGGTATCTTTGTCTGATGCTGAACTCCCCCAGTACTTAAGCAGGGCCAAAGAACAAGCAGCTCAAGTCCAGGCTGGGCTACCTTTTGCCATGTCAATAATGGCAGTGTTTGCCTGTATTCAACCACAAAGGCCTTTAAAATGTGGTGTCGGGCTGCCAGACGTGACTGCTAACATCCTCTGATCATCTCTGAAATCAACAGTGCTACAGCAAGTTCAGCCTAGACTTGCTTCTGGCAACTTGTATGCACTACTTGTAACACAGCCATGAAATGCTCAAATCCATTCTCATCACACACATATTCCCCTACAAGTTCCCATTGCTCCTCCACTCTTTCAGACTATTCTCTTTGTTGAGACTATGCTAGGCAGGATGATAAATAACAAAGGACTCGCTCTGCTGGAGTCCCCTGTCTCTAGACATCACTAAAGCTCATCTGTGAATAGTTGCAGCTCCTGGTCTCTTTTTCATTAGGATAAATATGGATTTAATGGGAGGTGGAAACAAGAAAATAAACCCTCTGCACACTTAAGAAAATGCATTCTTAACAGACAGCACGGTACCACAACTGGGTGGACCCATGCAGGGCAGGGTGTTTCCCCATGATTTCCTACATGTCATCTTTCTGCAATTTCTTCCTTGTCTGATAACCTTGCACCATCTTGCACTCCAAACATACCAGGCTCTGCTATTCAAAGAGGCATGGAAGGGAGAAGGGGTTTATCTGTGAGCTCTTTTCTTCATCTCTGCTCCCCTAAGAATCTGAGTATACTGCAGCTGACCACAGAAATCTCCAACAGCTTTACCACTGCCTAGCACAACCCTTTTCTTCCAAAAGGCTTCAAAGACACAGGAAGCACTATGAAACAACAAATCAGAGAAGGGGCTCATATAGGTAAATGGGAGTGTCACAGAAGAATAGAAATGGTGATGAGTTATCCATGGATGTAGCTCAGGGTGGAAATGATCACTGTCTTTCTTTTACAATAGTTTTGGTCTTCAGGTGGCCAATTTTGTTAAAAATTCTCCCCATAAAGTCTTGCAATATTTCCCATACCCTTTTGCAGTCACCACCAAAAATCTTATTTGATGCAGCAAGCTCCTGACAACAGATTCTTATGCAAAAGGCATCTTCTAACCTTTTCTGAGATTGCAGTACTATCATTAAAAACTGTTTCCAATTGATTATACCTTTGTCAAATTTTAGCCACTCTGGCTGAAATTTCCCATCTTTGCCATCTGTCACAGGACACAACTCCACAGCTAGTAGTATCATCTAATCCATGCACTGACTGCAATGGGTCAATTATGATATAATTAAAGACACTCATCGTGCATATGCATAGACACAGAAATCAGTCTACACAGTGGCCAACCTGAATTCCCTAACATTTTGTGCATGAACTACAAGGGACCTGCTGTAAATGAAATAACTTGGAAAATATAGACAGGGTGGCTGACCACCGCCTTGGTTCATGGCTGAAACTTGCAGGTGGAAGGAAGGTGGAGGAGGAGGAGGGATGTACCACTAGAGGCCACTGTGCTGCTTCATAAAATCTCAATGGTTTGTGAAAATCAACAGATGGGTGTGACAACACTGAAATCCAGAGTGCCAGAAACAGTTCAGTCTTGTGAGGGAAGAGTAGCCACACAAACTCCTTAGGCTATCCCACTCCAAAAAAAAAAACAAAAAAACCAACAACAACAAAAAAAAACCTCTGCAAGTGCAGAGAGATTACTGGAAGGCTTCCTATTGATATTAGGTCTTGGTTCATTAGCTGCCTTCTCTGTACTCTATGCAAGATCCATACTGCTTCTCGAAAGAAAAGTACAGCCTAAATAGCACCTGCAGTCAGTATATCTTACTTTAAAAAGCAGTTAATTTTAGTGCTGAACACTCATAATATAAGTTAATTCAACAGTAAAAACCAACTTTTTCAATGTGCTTAGTCTTTTGCTGCAAAATACTTACTCTGAGGGCTTCCTGCAGAATTCACAGGATTTGTTGTATACATTAGGAGCCAGATTTTGATCTTGCATACACTAATGAAAACTCAGGAGACCTCTATCAGTACTGATGGAGTTGTCATTCAACAACAAAGACTTTGGCCACACAACACTTTTCCTGGTCCAGTCATACCTCTTTAGAAACTAGCTTGATTTAATTACAACAATTGTTTCATGTAGGTGAGATGTGGAGTCAAGCCTCCAGGTCTGTGGCTTTGACTGTTTTTCAAGAATCTCACCTTCCTGCAATGTCAGTGTGACAGGTTTCCGCTCAAAGTCAGGTGTACTGCATCCTTTTGGAATATCATCCACAAACTGGGTGATAACAACTCCTGGGATAGAAGATTTCTTGAAGGATTTTACTAGAAAGGCAAGGAAAAATACATTCAATTAAGATAACATGTTTGTCCTTTAGAAACAATCTCTCAGTCTGCATTGCCTCTCTGCAGAACAGTAACTGTTCCTGCTCAGCTCCTCTTGGACTATAAAAGACCCATCCATTCTAGTACTACAAGCTGTGTGTCCAAAGGCTGAAGCATTAAGGTCTGTAATTTTGTGCTGACTTATTGCAAAGCTAGAGCTCAGGTGGGGAAATCTGTAATGCAGATCACAATCCAGGGCCACATTGGTTTACAGGTCTAGCAATAATTTGGATAGAGAATGCTTTACATCAGTTATTGTTCCAAATAAATCTCAAAATCTGGCATGAGAAAGACACTATTGTTAAGGTCAGCAGAACCTGATGGGACAGTTACTGGTGTCTCTCCTAGTGGTAGTGAGAGACAGATAACTAGTTGCCAAACAAGAAAAGCAAGTTGGACTTATTCTCTGGGCTACCCCAGATAGTTTTCATAGCTGTGTCTGTTCTCTCACCTGCCTGATGGCTGGTCATGATGCTGTGCTCAGCTGCCTATGGACAGAACAAACAGACTACAGGTTCTCCTGTGAAAAAGACAAATCAGTTCATTATTGACAGTTCATAAGGGAAATGACAGACCTTAATACTGCTCACTTTTATGATGCAGTTTGCCCTTCTTCACTTGCCACATCCTAGTAGCTGAGAAAGGCCTGCCAATCAACACATCATGACATGACTTTCCAAAACACATCGTGACACAGTTTTGAAGACAAACCAGGTACAAAAATGGCTAGCAGGCCTAAGTGGAAAATGTATACATCTAACAGCATCTGTCTGACACCTCTCCCATTTCCATATCTGGCTTTCCTCCAAAGACCTCCTCTCGTGTTTCAGGCAAATATTATACCACATGGCACTCACGTGGTGAGTTCTGATGGATGGCAAGAGCAGTTGCTGAGAAGAAAGCCACAGAGACGGATGTCTAAACTGGGGCATGAAGCAGAAGCTCATCCTGATCTAAATTAGCTTGTCTAAATTAGCAACAGACCTGAGAGCAGACTATAAGCTACTACTTTAGAAGGAAATGGTGAAGTGTGAGCCTGGCATTAACTAGTTATTGTTATAGATCACTCCTGTGACCTTCTGTCAAAGGTGTCTCTTTCCCTGTATTTAAAAATTGGACAACATGTAATGTAACACATCACTATATTGCAAGCAAACTGTGAAGGCAGATTCCTTGTCATATGAGAGATGCTCAGAAACTATAGAGTTACTGAAGCTCTGAAAGAGCAATTAGATTAGATTCCCATGTGGGATTAATGCTCTGTCTCTATTTACTCTCTGCACTCCTTCAGTCAACAGGGTCACACAAGAACATACAACTTTCAACAGTTTTAAAAGGCAGATAGACTTTGTCAGCACACCTATTATCTTAATTCTGATTCCTATATCAGACATTTATCCAACCTAGTAGTGCCACAGTACACCTTATGAAAACCCCGGGTAGGACCCCAACATCTCCTTGTTATACGTTTAGCTCAAAGTTGCATTATCTGTATGAAACTTGCTTTCAGCTAAGGGTAAAAGACAACTAAGCTAACAAAAATCATTTGTGCTGTATGTACCATAGACAGGCCAAAGAAAGCATAAGACATGGTACTTCTGGGTCAGATTCTAACCAAAAGGATAAACTTTGTTTTTCCATTAATCAGCAGTTGCAAATAGGAACATAGACATCTCTCCACAACAAATCACTGGCTCCACTGTTGTCCTTAACACAACTCTTATTTTAGGGTTATGTACACTACACAATCTCATAAATAATTGATTACTTGAAAAAATCACTCTGTGAGTCACATTGACATCAGTGGAAATACATGTGAAACAACAGGAATTAGAAATTATACATGGGACTGTGCGAACGACAGGCAAGTCCTCTCTTTCTATCACCTCCCCAGTCTGGTGTGGGTGACTTTTGTTGCTATCCACCAAAACAAGAGCTTTACATTTCAGCGTTCCTGCTTTTGTGTGTTGATATTTTGGCATATCATGTAGTTACTTCCATAAACCAGTGGTAGGTATTTTAAAAATTGCAAATGAAGGGAATGAATAGCTTGTGGGAGGGAAAAGACACAAAACTGAAATGAAAATAAGATGATTCCAGGGCACCCTGTCCTGCACCAGGCAGGGCTTTGCACAGAAAATGGCAGAGATTTTCAAAGACTGTTGATCACCCTTGTCTGATAGACTTAATTTGTCCTTCAAGGTACTGAACTGTATTAACAGCGAATATTATAATGCCCTGTTGCCTTCTGCAGTCTTGTATCTTCCTAAACATGTCACCATTCCTGAAGCTGAAATGTCTAATGCATACAACTTTCCACAAACATAATTACTTGACATTAGCTTGCAACAGTATTTCCCTAAGCTCTTTTTATGTTACACTCACATTTATTCTTTGCTACTCCTGACTTCTTCCCCCCACAGTAGGCAATATTGACGAGCGTCTACACTGGAATGTGAACATGGTCCAAATTCGCAGGTCCAAAGCCATCAAGAAACTTACTCTTATGTTACCAAATGCATCATGTCAGACAGTTGTTCTCAGTCCAGTGTGACTGTGGATATATGTTAACATAATTATAACCTATTGAGAGATGGCTACGTTCAAATCTAGTTTAAAAAAATAAATACTGACAATATTTGTATAGGTAGTAACAGGCACCATGTATGCATCCTCTCAAGGTACAATAGGCACTATGTGCCCTATGCCAAAACTGCTGAGTTTATAGGGCCTTAAGTATTTCAGAAATTCACCTGGATTAAAGATAAGCTGCTGTGAGTCCTTAAACTCCTGTGAATTCTTGCCTTCTGGAGAGTGAGACAGAAGCATGTTAATGCCACACATTGATTGCACAGTTAAAATAACAGTGCCAGGATATGCATGAGAACATTCCTTCAGTGTAATTAATCCAACCACATCACATTTTCTAGCATCTTCTGTGTTAAATGAGGACCAGAAAATAAGATCTCAGCTGGCACAGAGTCATTAGGACACTGCCTTGATTAATTCTAAAATTTCTACTCCCTTGTTTCATGAATAACTATGGTTTTGCTTTAATTTCAGTTCAATCCTAGAAAAAGAAATCAGATTTTTGAAAAGGAATGAAAGACAGCAAAAGCCTTCCAAAAACTGACATAGTGCAATCCATTTCTCCACTCACAGCTGCTTGAAACATAGGTGTCCACACGAAGATGATCACTGAGGTTGCTGTTTATTCAACGGAGGCAGACAAATACTTCCAAAAGGCAATCTCCCCCTTCTTAGATGAAATGCTGTTGACCAACAGCACAGCAGGACTAACACTGGAAGTAGCTCAACACTCTCACTCCTCTGAAAAACACATCCTTGTTATGCATTAGCCTTGTTCAGGTAACCAAGACTTGGCTATTTCTCAGCCCAGGCAGAAGCCTGTCTGCTTTTCAGCTGTGGACACATCCCCTTTGGAGATAGTGGCAAAGCTTCCACGATTTGAATGCAGAGAAGGAGCAAGTCCTTGATTACTAACAATATTTTTAATCTACCAAAATAAACCAGATAGATTGTTGGGATAGGAGGTCTGCCCTTCATCTTGTCTATATATCAATCTGTCTGAATGAGACAGAGCAAGGGCCCATTCCCTTTTGCGGTTTGACTGGACACTAGTGATAGGGCCATAAATCAGCTAAGTGAATAAGCAAAACATTTGGGAGTCACAGGATTTGGAGGTACTAGTGGTGTCACAAGTAGTTATTTATGAGGTTCAGACAGTGACATAATTGCTGGCAGAGACTAGTGAGCAAAATTAGCCAGACTTGTAGAGAAGTGATGGGCAGTGAGTGGTTCATACAGTCATAATGGGTCCAGAGGCATGGGATGTATCACAGACACTGGCACAAGCACAATAAATGTGGAGTACAAATCCATTAGCATAGACCACTTTAGAAGACTTGAATCAACATCATCATAAATTAATCAGCCACAGATGCAGCATTCCATTTCTCTTTGTAATTCATAAAAATCAGGACAGTGTTGACAGTGAATGTTCTAAACAAAATACCAAACTGTTGTGTGCTCAGTCTCAAACTCTAGCTGTCCTTTACACCAGAGGATCCAGTTACTCATTGAGGAGAGGTATCTCTCACCTAAAATTTCTCTTTTAGCTTTGGGTGAGTTTTCTTTGTTTATTTGTTAACTTTAAGTAATATTTTGAGCCTTAAGTCTTCCCATTTCAGAAGATTTTTAAAGGAAAATCTCAAAGACTGGTTAGAACCACAGAACTGAAGGCTGGCAACTGCAGAAGTGCAACTTCATGAAAACTTCTGAGCAGGTCACAGAGGAGGAACATCACAAGCACTCCAGTGATGAATGGAGGTCTTGTGTAGAGTGGGGAGGAATGCCCAAGGATCAGATTTTGTGTGACTTATCCCTTCGGTAAATCTATACTTGACTTGATCTTCTCTTCTGCCTTAGGGATTATGAATATAACATAAGTGATTGCTCATGGTGTCCACAATTTACGTATGTGTACACCAGATACCCTATAGCTATTTATTTATTAAAGTGGCATGGACACAAAATGCCAAAAGGAGACACACACCATATGTATTTTCTAAGTGAATGAAAGCAATTAAGCCCTAACAGCAGTGAAAAACACAATGAATTCATGGCAGTTTAGGAAAGCAGGTATGGGGTGACAACACAAGAGCAGGTCAATCTGTTCCTTTCAATGTCCACAACATACCCATTAATTCTTTCATAACATAGATGTGCATTTTCATAGTCAATAAATTTACAGCAAATGTTGCAGAGCAAATACAACAGTTTTACTAAATGTCTGGAAGAAAAAACAACATATCCCTACTTGCTGTCCCAAGAAACAATGCCTTCAAGTTAACAAACATTAGAAACCATAGCATACCTGTGCTAGAAGTCCCATGTTAGCTCCATGAGACAGTTAGAGCAGATCTTCAACAGCCTGCCATCTTACCAGGGAAATTGGTGCATGCTCTAGGAGATCACTCCTCCCAAAACATTTACAATAATTTTCAGACCTACATCAACACAGAGCAATGTCTACCATGACGGTGACACTTCATACTCCCAGCTCTGTACTGCCTCCACACAAATCCCAGTGGTGACATGACCAAACTCACTACCTTATAGGTTGAGCTTCTGAGATGATCCTGCCTGAAGGCAGTACTGTGTCTCCCAGGACCTCAGTGGCTCTGTCCGTTGTCTCAGACCATGGAGCTCTTCATAGCTGTTCAACAGGTCTCTTGGTCACAGCTATTAGCGATCTGTATGAAAGAAGCCGTGCCCCTTATTAGTCCATTGTAAATGTCACTAAGTGGCAAAAGAAATGGCAAATTCTAATCCCTCTCACACCTCTCCGCTCCCTTAGAAGCTAAGTCTGTGCGCAGTAAGTGTCTACCTAGGATGTCTCTATATTGTGCTGTGTGCAGATGTAGGGGGCTCATTATACACCCACGCT